CCACCTGCTCCACTGCCTCTCCGTTAATCTGAAGAGAGCAACGGGCAGGAGAACGAGAAGGCACTAGGCTCTTCGTTTTAGATGCGTTCACACGCATGCCGGTCACGTCGCGCTCGGATGCGAACCTTTCTAAGGAGCACTGGAGATAAGTTTCGGAAGATGCTAATAAAACAAGGTCGTCTGCAAAGAGCAACCTTCTCGACTTCATACCTCCTACACCGATACCCTCGTCGCCTTGGCAGCTCTTGGCTATTCTATCCATGTACAACACAAACAGGATGGAGAACAGGACGCAGCCTTGGCGGAGACCAGTGCCAACATTGAATGGTTCCGACTTAACCCATTAACTCTGACACAGCACCTGCTATGAAAATACAGTGATTGGATGGCCCTTAGCAACTTGCAATCAATCCCGTATGGACGAAGGCATGTCCACAGACTGTTGCGTGGGATCCGGTCATACGCTTTTTCTAGGTCCACAAAACAAATGTACACCGGCTGGGTGTACTTCCACGATTTCTCAATAATCTGGCACAGGGCAAATTTATGGTCAGAGGTGCTTCGACCGGCCGGGAAGCGACACTGCTCTTCTGGAATCTTGAGGTCAACTATTTCACCGCACCTCCTTTCTGTCACCTTTGCGTAGACATTTTTTGAAGCCGGAATACAGAATTCATTTCTTGTTTACACATAAATCGTTTGACGTTTGATAAATCTTTTTTGATGAAGTTATTAATTGATGTTTTCCTTTAATTTCTCTTTGAATTCTTTGCGAGAAGGGTACTCGCTATTTTTTTCGGCCACTATTCACTGTGCTAAATTGTTGTAGAATAAGACCGTTCGCGCAGTTGCACGGTGACAGTTCATTAGCTAAATCACTGATCTGCTGGTTTAAATAAGTGGAATAAAATTTCTGTTACGTAATTAAAGTTCAAATTCAAACCGGATTCAGATAATACATTGTGTCGAAGTTAGAGTTGAAACAGAATGAACCATGGATCGACTTCCCGTATGCAGCGGTCCTTAATCAAGTTTGAAACTTCTGTTGCTTATAAAGTATGATTGAAGTAACCTGACTTAAAGCCAATACAAAAAAAAATAATTCCAACAAAACATGAGTGAACATCTGTCGCACCGAATGATATGTGGATCATTGCTAGCTTGCAAATAACAAACAAGAACAGGGATATGAAATACAAATCACGAATGATAAATATTTTAAGCTAGTGTAAGTGATGAAACTAAAATTGACAACACCATATCTCCTAGAGTTCGAAAATTAACAGATCGAATTGCTCCGCCGCATAATATAAATTTCCAAGCGATCAACGCGCGTGCAAATACCGCAATTCATCAGGATCCGGACTTATTGAATATTCTTGACAGATAGTTTTTCATGCAGAGGTGAATGTCGACTTTTCTCTGTATTTTCTGACTGCTAACTAATTGAGTTAAAAAAAAGACCCAACAAGCTTTAGCAAATTTTATTTTCATAAAGCAATTGCTGAAGAATTAAAGGATTTGCAAATTGTTTTTGCAAGAGGAACCTTAAAATATTCATATTTCGTATCTTTCGCAAGAGAGAAGCAACACCGATGTCGGCCATTCTGCTTTCGGCTATAATAAATGTTCCGTTAATTTCGTTCTCGAATTCCTTCAAGTTCAAATGGTTACCGACAAATGGCATGGTTAAACAAAACTTAAGAATAGAAATTATAAATTGACTGATAGAATAAGTAACACATTGAACGTTGATTTTATTCGCTCTTATGATTTAGGAATGTTGGCGAAAGCTCAAATATATATATTGGGTTTTTGATATAAGACCTTCTTAAAAATAAAGCTCTTTTCTACGGAATGCCGGAATAAATTACGAGGGTGGATGTCTTCATTGTTGAGTGCAATGTTTGCTTTGACTGCTTTGGTTAAACGGGCACCAGTTGTTACTTAACTTGTGCATTTCAGTCTTACCAATCTTATCAAAAATACAATACTTAGGCGATCTTGATATAACAGTTAGCCGTAAGTTTTTAACTTCGCAGTATAATTGATCGAAGAGATATATAAGTGCCCAAATTTTACTTAATAGATTTGCACG